ACGGGGCTGAGGTGGGGGTAAGGCTCACGGAGGCCGGGGCAGGGGAGGCGCAGGGAGTCCGGGGCGGGTGGGGGGCGGGAGGTGCAGGGGGCAAGGTGCAGGGAGGCTGGTTGGAGGAGAAGGTGCAGGGAAGCGGGGGAAGGTGGGGGGTGGGGGGTGGGGGAGAGGAGGCGCATGGAGGCGGGGGCGTTGGCGCATGGCGGCCTAGGGGGAAGGCGCAGCTAGCTTCAGGGCAGGCAGGGCCCAGGTGCTTGGAGGTCACTTAAGTCACTGAAGGATTGTAAGTCACAGAATCTGGTGACCAGGTTTTTGCTAGTGAGGAAACTCTTTCGTGTAAGACCAAGTGCCCTCAGAGGCCAAGGGTCCGAAGCAGAAAAACAGTGGGCGGGAAGAGAGGAGGGGTTACGTTTAGAGGTCGGCCCTGGATGCCTCCCAGGTGGCCCGGGCCCCACTCACTGAGACACGGGCTGGGCTGTGGGAAGAGTTATGAGGTAATGAGTTCAAGGCAGACACACTAGTTTTGACAGACTTACAGGCTATCCAGAGGAAGGTGCTCAGCTGATAGATAGAAATCTGGCTCTGAGGCTCAGGAGGAGCCTGGCTGAATAGTAGTTTAGAGAACATCACCCCCTAGTCATAGCAGAAGCTGTGAGACATCTGCTCAAGTGAGTACCCAGTATCTCTTGGGCGTGGGTGCTGGCTAAGCTGGTGTGAGCGCCCCCCCCAATGGATTATAGCTGAACTCCAGACGGAACAAGGAGCAACTACATGCTAACGTATAAGAGCAGGAGGCTGAACAGTCAAACCTTGAATAATGACACAGAAAAGGGATGAGTTTCTTATTTCCCTTTTCTTCCTTGGAGTCCCAACTTTGAAACACGGAGTGGGGGGGTGGACCACACATGTGGTTTGGGATGCGGAAAGTGGGAACTTCAGAAGACTCCTAGAGTTAGCCAGAGGACCTGGACCAGGCTCCCCTGCTTGAGGAAGACTGTTTCTCTCTCTCTCTTCCTACTGTAGTCCAGGTTGTGAAGGTGCACAGCCATGGGCCTGCACTACCAGTCCAGCAACAGACAGGCCCCTAAAACCCCAAGAGAAGGCTAGCTTTCTGACCGAAGGTACCAGAAAAAGGGGCCCCTAGTAACTGAAGATTGTAGGTGAAATCCCTGTTAATTCTTCCACCTCTTTTCTCTGGCTGCTTTGCCCTAAAGATGGCTCCAGTTGCGCGAAGCACAGCAGCGGGGGGTGGGGGGGGGGCTGCTGAAACCTCTCTTTCTGAGAGAAATCTGTTTCTGGTCATAGGAGCTTTGAAGGGGGTCCCTAATTCTGCATATGAACTAATGAAATGATTCAAGTCCTGGGATCACCCCTGAGCTCTCCATGCATGGGGAAGATCCAAAAAAGCACACAGCATAAGCATCAAGAACTGAACTACTATATAAACCACCACCTATATCCCAGCATAGCCTGAGTAGGGTTTGTGTGGGGCAGACACGAAGAAGCATAGCACAGGCTCTGAGAATGGACCTGCTGCTGGAACTATAGCCCACAGAAGGCTAAATAGAATTTGCAGTATGAACCTAACCAGGCTGATGGCATGCCAAGAAAAAAAAAAATCAACATTCCTCAGAGTTTTAACAGGATACCAACTCTCACAACATAGCACAATAAAAACAATCCCAAATTAACCAACATATAAAACCAACAAATAAATAAATGAAAAACCTCTACAATCCCCAAACAGGCAGATCTGACCAATTCTCAAGGGAAAAGACAACCAGCAAATGCTGACCCGAAGATGACCCAGACATTGGAATTATCAGACAGAGAAGGCAGGCATTGTCACAGGCATTTCCATTCCATTTACAGTATATTTTTTCAGTATTTTTTTTCCTCTGAACCTGGTACGGATACAATAAGGAAAAGCAGGAGTGCCGATTAGAATGGGTGACTGCCTCCGACTCATCATTTAAGAGGTTCATTGTCCTTTCACAAACAGTGCAAAGAACTAAGATTCTACAACAGAACACTGCCATTTAGTGGCTTACTTAAATCAGGTGAATTGCAGAACCAGCTGAATAAAACTAGACTTGTCATAGTCTAGTGCCTGGGTCTGCAAATGTTTTCTGTCAAGGGCCAGAGAGTATTTTTGGCTTTGCAAGCCAAGAGGCAAAATCAAAGGTATTAGGTAGGCAGATTTACGCTTGACCCTAACTGCCTGGGCCAGGCCATCTGAGATCCAGGAGAGACATACTTGAGATCAAAAGCCACCAGACTGAAGAAGAGGGTCCTGGTGGGTCAACCCGGCAGATGGTGGTGGGGGGGGTACCCCAGGGCAGTTTTGATTTTTGCCCCAGACACCCCCAGATCCTGATGTGTCCTCTTCTCCTCCCGAGAGCCAAGCAGTTTCAGTCTGGTCAGCTTGCTGGAGGCTAAGCGAGTCCTGAGGTGCTGCCTGCAATCCCACAGCTGGGCAGCAACTCTGGGCACAGAGGAGGTAACAGGGACAGAGGGGGCACCCCGCTTGATCTCTAGGCCTGCCACTGCTGGCCTTCTCCATCAGTGCCCGGCCTTACAAAAACAGATGGGCTGGATTTGGCCCACAGGCTCTAAGTTTGCTGGTCCCCATTCTTCTGCCTCTAAAACCTTCAAAGATAAGCTTCAAGGACAACCTTATGAAATGTGAACAGCACAGAATTTATCAAAATATAAGGTTTCAATACAATATTCCTTTTACGCTCCCATAATTTTAAGAGGTTATGAAGAACACTTTCCATCAAGCCCTTCCTCCTTGAAGTTCACTATCAGTAGTCGGAAATGTGAACGCGGATTTTCTAGGACCTTTTCCTGAGTCACGAAGATGTCACTTCTGCCAACAGAAAGCGTTAAAACACAGACTGGTTAAACTGTAGGGCTTTTGTGAGAACTCATGGCTTTTCCGACCTCAGAGCTGAGAACTGGAAGCAGACGAGACAGGACTTGTCAATACAGATCGAAGTAAGTCCTGAGAAGGGGAGAGCAAAGGTACCACTTATCATGACATCTACGATTCATGAGACCTACCCTGATAAATCTTCTCATCTTCATTAGTCACGTAGGCATTGGCTCCCCAGATCACCATCTTGCTGATGAACGATGGATATTTTGCAGCTGCAATAAGAGATGTAATGCCGCCATCACTCCAGCCCAGCAGGGACACCTTCTTAAACTTCAGCATCTGCGAGGAATACAGTGAAATGCACATAGCACAGCTGATTGCTCCTCTCTGCTAAAAGAATCCCATAATTGACAGTTGTCAAAATCAATACAGCTGTGAGGTTTGGAGCAGCTGTTGGTAATTAAAGAAAAATCCTAGAATCCACCATTTGATGATGCAAATGTTTTTATCTCCATTAGTTTTGGTGTAAATCTAAGTGTCGCAAAATCCTAAGTACCTCTGAAACTAATAATGCAGTATATGTTCATTAAATTGAATTAAAAAAAAACCCTAAGTACTTAGTATTGTTTTGAATTAATGAGGGAACTACATCTTCTGGTTGGACAGACTCTCTGGAAACAGTGGCGATCACCTGTCCTTGGAAATGACAAGTAACATGTGCATGCACACCCACGCCTGAGCGAAGGCTTTGAGAATAGTAATGCAGATTAGAGAGGGAAACTTGATATTTACTGGATGGAATGAAGTCACCACATCTGATAAAACCACTGACTGCAACTGTGGGAAGAACAGGCTGGAGGAGAACGGTGTCACGGGGAGGTTATTAGTCCTTAAATCAACCAGGCTCTGAAAACGTGTTAGGGAAACTGAACAAAGATGACATCGGAGAGATGCTGCCTAGAAGTAAAAATAGAATGACCTGGAAAATGAAAGATTTAACAAATATCAGTCCAAGATACTGATGGGACTATACATGGCTGTAAGTAGCATGGATAATAATTTGGCACTATCTTGTAAAAGGAACATTTGCATCTTCCATAACCCAGCATCATCCCCTAGGTATGTATGGAACTCCTGCACCCGTACATCCGGAGACAGGTCCAGGAGTGTCCACACAAACACTGTTTATAAAAGAACTAAAATGTCCATGGACAAAACAATATTCACTGCACTGCTGTTTCTAATAACAAAAAAAAGCAACTTAAAAATTTGATTATTTATCTACCATTAGAGAGAAGTGAAATAAGACACTGCATCCCCACAATGGAATACTGTGTGACTATTGTAAGACTTACGTAAACTTATTATTTGTTAACATGGAAGTATCTCCTTGACAAATTGTTCAAAAAACAGTAACTTGGAAAAACATTATGTATAAGTATGATGCCATCAATACAAAACCATGTATTTATATATGAAAGAAGACTGGCTGGAGGGGAACCCCCTTGCACTGTTGGTGGGAATGTAAGCTGGTGCAGCCACTCTGGAAAACAGTGTGGAGGTTCCTCAAAAAGTTAGAAATAGAACTACCCTACCATCCAGCAATTGCACTACTAGGGATTTATCTAAAGGATACAAACATAGTGATTCAAAGGGGCACATGCACCCCAATGTTTATAGCAGCAATGTCCACAATTGCCAAAATATGAAAAGAACCCAGATGTCTATCAATGGATGAATGGATAAAGAAGATGTGGCCTAAATATACAATGAAAGATCACTCAGCCATCAAAAATAATGAAATCTTGCCATTTGCAATGGATGAAACTAGAGGGTATTATGCGAAGTGAAATAAGTCAGAGAAAGACAAATACCATATGATCTCACTCATATGTGGAAGTAAGAAACAAAACAGATAAACATGGGGAAGGGAATGAAAAATAAGATGAAAGCAGAGAGGGAAGCAAACCATAAGAGATGTTGAACTCTAGGAAACAAACTGAGGGTTGCTGGAGGAAAGGTGGGTGGGGGGATGGGGTAACTGGGTGATGGGCATTAAGGAAGGCACTTGATGTAATGAGCACTGGGTGTTATATGCAACTGATGAATCACTAAATTCTACCCCTGAAACTAATAATACACTATATGTTAACAAAATTGGAAAAAAAAAAAAAAAAAGATGGGCTGGGAAGGCAGAGTGTCAAAGTCATACCAGCAGTTTCTCTAAATAGTTGGATTGTGGGATATTTCTACTTCCTAATTCATACCTATTTGAACTCCCTGAATTCTCTGTAAGAATTACATGGTATTACCCCTAGAGAAATAAAAAAACCACAAAACCAAAAACAAATAGATGAAGACAGGCCCAGCCATCCTCCCTTCTCTGGGCTCTTCCCTAAGAGACCCACCTTCATCAAATCAACAGCATCTTTTGCATCCCTTTCAAAAACGTCCACTGGGAAATCTCGATCTGGGGGTCTGGAGTGTCCATACCCTCGAGGATCCCAGGCAACCACTGTGAAGAGCTTCTTATTTAGGTTCTTAATCTGGGGTCCAAAATCAGTCTCTCCACTTCCTAAAAATAGCCACTCAGTTACCCTCAGGTGAATGATTTCATTATTTCAGGCACATTACAGTAAAAGCAGAAAACAACTACAATCTTAAAACAAAGTAACTAGTTTCTACTCGAAGTTAGACAGCAAGATGCAGTCAGCAAAGTAGCCTTGTGATGATAAATAAAATCCATTTACAGGGAGGCTGACTTCCTTTCCTGGTGTTCAGACCTGCCTTTTGTCTCCTCCTAGTGGCTACTTTGAGGATTCATTTGGTCCTGTATTATTACTTTTGATACTTTCCCAGTTAATCTTCCTTAAAAAAATTTTTTTTTTTAATTTAAAAAAAGGAATTCATGAAACTGCATAGAATTACTGATATGATATGTTTCTGGGTGATTTTTTTCTTTCTTTCTAAAAAGTGACTGTTACAAATGAGAGCTATCTCAATATTATCTGTCAACAAATTTATGAGATTTGGTCCAAGTTATTCAAAGTAGAATTCTAAATTCCCAGGTTGGTTTGTTGTTGTTGTTTTTTTTTCAAGGTTTTACTTATTTGAGAGAGAGAGACACAGTGAGAGAGGGAACACAAGCAGGGGGAGCAGGAGAGGGAGAAGCAGGCTTCCTGCTGAGCAGGAAACCCAATGCGGGGCTCGATCCCAGGACCCTGGGATCATGACCTGAGCCGAAGAGGCAGTCGCTTAACCAACTGAGCCACCCAGGCGCCCCAAATTCCCAAGTGTTTTTTACTAGGCTAATGTGAACAGCCCTGGAGATTTTATTTTCTGGTTATAAGTGAACACCAGAAAACTCAACTAAAACTCTAAAATGAGGGAGAGGGCAGGGTGTGGAGGGAAGAAATCAGATTAGCTTGTTTCAAACAGCGGCATGGTAACAAGCAGAACCACGTTGAGGCTGTAGTGGAACTGACTGGCAGTTCCCAGCCTCCCCACAAGGTCACAGCCACTGTGCGCACACACCTACTGCGTGTGGCCCAGAAGGCCAGACTCTCAAGGAGCCCAGTCCAGGAGCAAGTCCACATTTCATTTTTAAAGTCCACTTACTTTCTAAGGGCTTGTAGCTCAGGCCACCTAAACATCTTGCTTGATAAACTAGCTATTATTACAAAATGTCTTTTAAGATGGTACAGGATCATTTAACACTATCAAGGACCACCATTCTTCCTGGGAAGATCTACCTTTCTCACCATCAGGTAAATCATTCAGAAAACCTAAGGCAAAAATATAAATGGAGGGGTGCCGGGGTGGTTCAGTTAGTTTAGCATCCAACTCGGGATCTCAGCTGTCTTTTTTTTTTTAAGATTTTATTTATTTATTTGAGAAAGAGAATGAGAGCATGAGATGGGGATGGGTCAGAGGAAGAAGCAGACTCCCTGCCAAGCAGGGAGCCCAATGCGGGACTTGATCCCAGGACTCCGGGATCACGACCTGAGCCAAAGGCAGCTGCTTAACCAACTGAGCCACTCAGGCGCCCCTCAGCTCAGGTCTTGACCTCAGGGTTGTGAGACTGAGTCCCATGCTGGGTTCCATGCTAGGCATGGAGCCTACTTAAAAAAAACTCGTATATGTGTGTATATAATGTGTAATATATATATTGTACATATATGTTTTTTACACACACACATATTATGTGTATATAAGTTTGGAAAGGCATTTTAGCATTTTACTTTTAGAAGAAGAAAAGAAATCATAAGGAAATAGTATATATTGGTATTATTTAACTAAATTAAAACAATACTAAAATCCTTAAAACCAAATTTGAGTGTCCTGGGATCACTGGACATTAATTATCGTCCTGAGCTGTCTACATGTAAATTACTTATCTGAAAGATAAAACTGGGATACAGTCGGCTTTACTATGCTCCATTCATGCCAATCTAATTTTGACTCCCAAAAAGGCTTTAAATTAAGTCTTGTTCTTAGCTCGTATTTTAATTGAGCATATAGTCAACTGTAACAGGGTGATCAATCCATCTTCCAGCACTGGAAGTCTTGCATCCTGGAACCCCTCAATTCCAGGCACACTGGGATGGTTGGTCAGTAGCTCGTCTCCTGCCTTTATCTATCCCTTCTGCCCACACACCTTTCCTTGACCCCTGTCATCCTCCCAAATTGTAGGTAACTACACAGTATAACTCTATGAGAAAAAAAAAAAAAAACCTGGGTATTTAAAGGAATAAAGAATACATAGAGTAGAAAGTTATCCTTCTTTTCTGAATCACTTAAATTTGTAGCAAATATTAAAGCATTTAGCAAAGCACTAAAATTAATAATCAATATTTGGCATCTAATAATGTGAATGCATCACAGACTACACAGCATGAAAATTCCATTAAAAACTTCCAGACCCAACATTCCAGGAAGCAGCAGGACTGCATGCTCTCCCTCTCCAGTCTGCTGATAATGCAAATGGACACCATTCACAGCCACTTTGGCAGAGGTTACGGAGGTGCTGAAAGAGAAAAACCCCACCCCCAAAGAATTATTACGAAGCAGTACAAACATAATATGACCAAATTGCCCTTTTATATACCCAAGTCAACTCCAGTACCCTCCTCAGGCTTCTTGGATTCGAGTTGTGCTTAAGTTTTCCAAACCTAAAAGGGGACCGCTTACTAGACTGCAGATCTGAACTGTGCCTTCATGTTTGAATATCCTACAGCGCCAGCCCAGGGCTTACCCTACAAAAGTACTGAGAGGTTGCTGAAATCAATGGCCATACACCCCCAAGGGCATACACCTGGTGAGCTGGAAGCCAGTGAGTAGTGCCAAGGTCCAGGCTGACGCACGAGCTTCACACAATGACATGCGAGGGTGAGCAACCAGGACACAGAGCCTGGAGCCACTTGTCAGGACCTTAGCAGATCTAGAGGGGCAACCTGGGCCTTCAGCTGCATTGGCGGTGTCCCTAAGGGTGAGGCTGGTCTCAGGAGTCCTCAGAAAAGGCCTTGGTCCCTAGGCAGTCCTTTAGGCACATGGCTTCTCATGTTCTCTGGCCAGCCGCAGAAGGGCTCTTGGCAGGAATGGGTCTGCACTGCTATGGCCAGCCTGGTTTTTAACACATTGAAATATTTGTGTTGATTGTTAAACATGCAGGTCCATTAGCTTCAAGAGCCCTCCCTGTGCCGCTGACCCTCCTTGGCCCAACACCTCCCATGACACAGCACCTAACTGGATATGTTGGCACAGCAGAGTGCCTCAGGCAGGACTCCTGCCCCGTCTGTTCTGCCTGATGCTTGCACCAACCGTATCAAGGGTCCTGCTCTGATGAACCTCTCCTCTGCGGCTCTTCCAGAAGCTCCAGAATGACTGTGTGGGGATACACAGCAATAAGCCCATACAAGGCTCCTGCATCAGGCTCTTACAGCCTCCCCACTAATCTCCCAGGTGGCTGGGTGACCTCTGCTCCCGGCAGAATGTTAAGGAATTTAAATTAGCCACTGCCCCCCTTTTTCTTTACGTACTCTCTACCCCTATCACCTCTCTGCAATTAATCAAAATGCTTACGGAAATGAAGCATTTTTAAAAAAATGAGGTCCTCGGCGCCTGGGTGGCTCAGTTGGTTAAGTGTCTCCCGGGGTCCTGGGATTGAGCCTGTAGAGGGCTCCCTGCTCAGTGCGGAGCCCGTTTCTCCCTCTCCCTCTGCCCTCCCCCCCAGCTCATGCTCTCTCTCTCAAATATCTTTTTTTTTTTCTAAACTGAGGTCCTCTTTCCTCTTGTCGCCAATTTCAAATGAGAATGCAGAAACGAATGTGTTGAATGCAGGTACATTAAGTCTTAACACAATTTCTGCAAAAATGACAGAATTGGGTGGTAATAAAACCTGACCTAACTATAAGCTCATCTATAGAAAAGTCATGAGGAGCAAAAATAAAACCACTGAGCAAGAGTGGTATCATACGGACACTGCCAAGTCCTATTCTTTGGAGTCATTCATTTTTATTGTTAAGGTGGCTCTAGGATCCAGATAAAGGCAAATAATACTCTGGTAATAAAGATTCATTTCCGCAAACATTTACTGACATATTTATTTTTGCCCACAATCTAGCAGGAGAGAAGATAAAGAGACAAGAGATTTCGCTCTGCAAACCATCAGGGAGGGAAGGTTATGACTGAGGCCAGGAGCACAAGGAGCACGGCTGGAACAAGTTAGTAGGATTTCCCATATTCACCACACAGGAATGAGGCAGCTCCTAACTAGAGATGACCAGCATTCGCACGGTTCCTGTTAGTGATGACGTGTACCTTTATTATACCTCACGCCCTAAAGATTTTTGAGGGGGCTCCCTTCCTTGAAGCATTCAAGGACATGCTTGTAAGAATCATTTTGCGCAGTGAGGATGTCACATACAAAGAAAGGAACGCCACTCCCCACAGCATCCTTCTCAATGTCCAAGGCAGTGGGTTTTGTGGCTGGGTGTTGCTGACTCTCGCTGTCTGCAACTCTTCAGGGGCCCCAGGCGTCCTTTCCTTCAGCTTTCATGATCATTCCCAAGTCTCTTCTGCAAAAAACCTCTGCTTCCCTTTGCACTTTGCTGTATTTGTGTTTCGGTTTCCCATTCCAAACTTTTTTCCCCATTAACCCTATCCCATCTTTTGGTTGCCCAAGATGAAGGTAAAAACAAAACCATGAAGTCTAGAATTCAGCATAATGGGAACTCAATGTCAAGGCAGGGTTACTAAGGCAGAAGACTTTGAAGATGGTTTTAGAGAGAGACAGAGACCATACTGGGTTGAGTAGAAGTATCTGGAGAAGAGTGAAAAAAGTAGCATTTGAATTGAACTTCCAAGAGACGTAAAATTTTGAAAAAAAGAGAATGTGGTGGGGAGGGTGCTTCTAGAAGAAATAGCATGATCAAAGGCCCGGGAGGAAGGGAGGTCCTCGGCACCTGGGTGGTTCAGTCGGTTAAGAGTCTGCCTTCGGCTCAGGTCATGATCCCAGGGTCCTGGGATCGAACCCCGTATAGGGTTCCCTGCTCAGCGGGAGGGACAAGGCAGTGTTCAGTCTGGCAGGAGTGTGGGGGCAAAAAGGGAGCAAGGTTTGGGCTGAATGCTAAGGGGGTCTGCAGCTAGGCTAAGGGGAAAGGAGATGACCCCGGTGCCTTGTCATCAACATCCTATATGTCCCCACACCAGAGGTTCTTGCCACTATCACATCAGCCCACCCCCTGGGGTTAATGGAGGCTGCCAAAAACCCTTTATCAATCTTCAGGTTGGGGAAACAGGACAGAGAAGTGTTTATGAACAAAAGTAAATCAATTTCAAATGTAAGAAAAAAAAATTCATTTACAAAAATAAAGTTACTGAATGAAAAAAAGTTACTGAAACATTTACTGAATGATTCACTTATCATCAATAGAAGACCACTGAAATGAATAAAGCATTCTTTTCTCCAGCTTAGCAAGGGACTCTTAAGACAGCAGTTCAAGCCTCATTATGTGTCTGTTGAAAGAAAATCGGGCTGCGGGGCACCTGGGTGGCTCAGTTGGTTAAGTGACTGCCTTCGGCTCAGGTCATGATCCTGGAGTCCCGGGATCGAGTCCCGCATCGGGCTCCCTGCTCAGCAGGGAGTCTGCTTCTCCCTCTGACCCTCCCCCCTCTCATGTGCTCTCTCTCTCTCTCATTCTTTCTGTCAAATAAATAAATAAAATCTTAAAAAAAAAAAAAAAGAAAGAAAGAAAGAAAATCGGGCTGCGGAGAGACCAGGCCTTCAATGGCCCTAAAATGTGCATATTACTTGAGCCACAATCAAGATACCAAATTTCCCAAACTCTCACACAGGAAAGAGAATAGAAAACTTCAGAAAATTTAAAGACCAAAAACGAATCTTTCCTTTGGGGTGTCCGTCCGTCTTTAGCACCACTTTCTCCCCACTAATAATCACTTCACTTCTCTAACCCATGCATTCTTAAGCAGGTGTGCTTGTTAGAATCACCTGTGGAGAGTTAAAAATATACCTGCCTAGGACAATCCCGGGAGACTATCACTCAATGATTGGGGTAGAGCCCTGGCATGTGATTTCTTTTCTCTTCCTTCCTTTCCTGCCCTTCCTCCCTTCCCCCCTCCCTTCCCTTTCCTTTTCCCTTCCCTTTCCTTCCCCTTCCCTTTCCCCTTTCCTTTCCTTTCCTTTTAAATATGGAACGCCTCATGAATTTGCATGTCATCCCTGCACAGGGGCCATGCTGATCTCTGTGTCATTCCAATTTTAGTATATGTGCTGCCAAAGTAAACATGCCCTTTTTTATGAGAGCATTTCCAGCTTCCCACTATCTTAGTGGGAAGCTCAAACTTAGATTTAAATCATCTGGCACACTTAAATCTCCAGATGCCCAGGCCGCAAAATCTCTGGGGTGGGACACAGGCATCTGTATTTTTTAAATTCCCTGAGAGATTCCAATATGCAACCAAAGTTGAGAATGACTGTACTGAGTTAATTTCTTGTAGAAGAAAAAGAAAACCCTAACTCCCCGTTAAAAACAGCCTGTAGGAAGGCATGCTCACCTAAAATTGCCTTACTTCATATTTGTCCCTCTCTTTTTCGGGGAAGCTGGATAAGCAATTTTGTGAAAGGGGAAGGTCACAAGCAATACAATGATAATAACTCCCTGATTAAGGGGGCTGAGCTGCTCCTTTCCAAGAAGGAAAGTTTCCTTCAAGAATCTAACAACTTGGGGAAAACAAACTAACATTTAGTTTCATTATTAAGCTAAATAATGAATTCTACTAAGAGCTTACTTATCTTATTTGTTTTGCTATGTGCTGTACATACACTTACCCTAATTTTACCATTGAGAAACCTGAGGATTAGAGTGTCTAGACAACTTGCCCCAGTCACATTACTGGTAATGTCTGACATCAGCGCCTTTGGCATTTTGCCCTTTGCTTAGAAATAAAAATGGAGCGAGCCAATTAATACAATACATCCTCACTTTGAAAGTCCTACATATTTGCCATATATCTTATGTTCAGCTATTTTTTTTTTTGTATATTTTTTCCAAAGTAACCATTAGCAACAATAAAGTAGTAGCTACCCGTAGGGCTTGGAATTAAATGAATTTTGATAACTTACTTTGCACCTTTTACACACTGCATTACTAATCTGTATCAGTACTAACTGTAGCTACTACTTAGTGAATTCTTATTATATTCCAGGCCCTTTACATATATATTTTTTTCAAGATTTATTTATTTGAGAGAGCAAGAATGAGAGAGAGAGAGAGTACATGAGAGGGGAGAGGGTCAGAGGGAGAAGCAGGCCCCTCACCAAGCAGGAAGCCCGATGAGGGACTCGATCCCAGGACTCCGGGATCATGACCTCAGCCGAAGGCAGTCGCTTAACCAACTGAGCCACCCAGGCGCCCAGCCCTTTACATATATCGTCTCTAATCCTCAGAACAATTCTGCAAGGCACTAGGCTCCAGGTTAAGTAACTTGCTCACATTTGTGCAGCTAGAAGTGGCAATGCAGCCATGTAAACACCAGAATCCATGTTCTTTCTGTTAGGTCAAGGCCGAACAAAGTCTTCCAATGAGGCTCTGGCCCCAGGGCCCCACCAACCCTGACTGCCAGACAGAAAGAAGGTGGTGGCAGGTGCCAGGGGAAAGGAGGGTCTCTGATTCTCAGGCAGAGCATCCCAAGGTTGAACTCAGAAGACATTTTTCTTCTGGCAGGTTGTTAGGTTTTTATTACTATTATTTTTTTACCTGATCCTGGAACAAAGCAGTTTACAGATTACAAAATAAAAAAGAGCCAGAGTTCCAAATTACAGACAAAACAAGCTTTTGGAATACAACTCAACTGTAGGCTGGGTACTGGCTGTTTTGAAAGAAAGGTCTTAAAGGGGTGCTTTCACCTATTTATATTGGGCTGCAGCTTCATTTCAGGATCAACCACTGCTGGTTTTCTCTGATTACATGTAATATCAACTTGCAAATGCATTTACAAAATGGCAATTCAAAATCCAGAGAAACCTGTTTTTCAGAGATACTTTACGAAGAATGATTTGCACTAAATGGATGAGGCCTTCCTGCAACCATTAAATAACCTATCTTAACTTGGGTATTGGTACACAGTAACCTCATTTCAATCTCTTTCTGCAAATAGGAAACTGGATAAATTGCCATTTTTCAATGTTTATTTATACAGCTGTGAACATTGACTTATTTTTCCACCTATATTAAAATAGTCCTGAAAATCTAAAAGTTCTAAAACAATAATAAAAAAGAACTTAAATCAAATATGAAACTCAGAAACTAGTTAATCACAACATAAAAATTTAAAGCTGGTCAGATTTTTCCCTTCTCCTTCCAAATTAAATTTTCAAATGAGAAGTTTCCACATTGGATCAACTGAAGTTCTAAATGCCAGGTACCCATTTGGGATTTGACTTTCCCTAGTCATAAATGGAACTGACCCATCACCAGTTAATTGCATACATGCCCTGCGTACGTTTGTGTGTAGAGTGTACAGGTAGGTCTATGGGAATAAAGTAGAGCAAGCCTCATGCTGCTCTAACCACATTTTCTTAGTGTCTCTTGGGACCAAGGGCACCCATTTTTAAGACAGTAGGTCAAAGATTAATCTAGTTTTGTTTTTTTTTATTTTTTATCTCGAAGTATATGTGAGTATGGGGGATAGGGAGTCAGAAAAGAAAAAGGCAGATTCTTGGCCTTTCCGGCTACATCAGAACCTCAGAGTAGGCCAAGATTTTGAATTTTCCCAGGTGCTCAGGATGGTCCTTTTGCATATTAAAGTTCAAAATCAGCAACAACAACAACAAAAAGACGACAACGCAGGGACTTCGGACCTGGGACCCGTGACTATGAGAGCTAACAGGTCACGGACATTCTCAGGCTGTTTTTTTTTTTTTAATATAAAAAGCATGAGAGATCAGAGTCCTGAAGGTGTGAAGAGACTGGACAGAGCAACGAATAAGAATGAAGGGTTCGGGATTCTAACCTCTGTCGTGAGAGTGTCTGTGGCCGAAAGCAAATTACGTTACCTCCCTGGGTCTCTTTCGTCTGCACAATGAAGGGCTTGAACTCCATCACCCAAGTCCTTTAGGGCTCCAGAGTCACCGAACTGAAGCCGATGCAAGGCTGGAAGTGCTCAGTCCCGGAGTAGCAGAGGTGGAGAACAGCCCCACCGCCTCCAGTGCAACCACGTAGCGCAGGCTCCGGGTCGCCGTGTAGGGGCAAGAGGGCGGAGACCCTGCGTCCACCGCCGCTACTCGCACCGCCCAGCCAGACCCCCCGCCCCCCAGCTAGCGCGCTCCTCTCCCGCCGCCCCCCAGAGCGCGGACCTCGCCGCGCGGGCTCCCGGAGGGAAGCGGGCAGCATTACCTGAATGCGGCTACAGGCCCGGCACGGGGGACCGGGTTCCCGGGCTAGCATTACCTGAATGCGGCTACAGGCCCGGCACGGGGGACCGGGTTCCCGGGCTTCAGAGCCGACAGGAGGATGGGCAGACGCCGCAAAAGCCGGCTGTTTGGCTCCGCAGCCATGACCCCAGCGCCGCCCCGCCTCGGAGCGCGCCTGCGCCGGGCTCCACCCACTGCCCCGGGAGGGCCCGGCACCGCCGCGGGAGAACAAGCCTGCGCCCCGCCCCGCCCCGCCCGCTGCCCCAGGCCCGCTGCCCCAGGCCCGCTGCCCCAGGCCCGCTGCCCGAGTCGCTAGGAAATACGCATGCGCCGAGGGCCCGCTCCGCCGAGGGCCCGCTCCGCCGGGCTGCCCGGGAGCACGCATGCGCCGGGACTTCCGTCGGGTGATGGGTGCATTGGTCACCTTCCGCCAGCTTACTCTTGTCACGCTGAGATGCTGGGCCGTCCGTCTCTGACCCTTGACAGAAACGGGGCTCGGGGTCCCACGGCACTGCAACACAGATCGTCTCCTCTCGGGGTGCCAGTTCTGGCTCACGAGGAGCACGTCCCAGTGGGCTCTGCCCCGCTTGTCGCCACGGTGACTGGTCCCTTCAAGGAGGCGAGGCCGCATCCGCCCACCTTTGAGAGAGTGGGTGGTGAGGAGGGGCTCCGGAGGGATGGGTGAGAGAAGGGGGGCTTCAGGCCGGCTGCTCTCGGTGAGGTGAAACGCATTTGCTTCTAAGAATGATGGGATTAAAATTTCCCTTCATACCATCTCACATCCATTGGTATAGCTATTGTCAAAAAACAAACCAGAAAATAATAAGTATTGGCGAGGATGTGGAGAAATTGGAACCGGTGCACCGCTGGTGGGAATGTAAAATGGTGCAGTGGCGGTGGAAAACAGCATGGTGGGTCCTTAAAAAATTAGACCTAGAATTACCAAAAGATCCGGCAATTCCACTTCTGGGTATATACCCTCAAGAATTGAAAACAGTATCTCAAAGATATTTATACACCCATGGTCGTAGCATTATTCACAACAGCCAAAAGGTGGAAAGCAACCCAAATGTCAATGAAGGGATGAAGGTATAAATGTGTATACATATAATGGAATATTGTTCTTTAAAAAGGATGGAAATTCTGCCATATGCCATAATATGGATGAACACTGAGACATTATACTAAGTGAATATGCCAGTCATAAAAGGACAAATACGGTATGATTTCATGTATATGAGGAATAGGCAAATTCAAAGAGACAAAGTAGAAAGGTGGTTTGCCAAGGGGTGCCGGAAGGGGAGAATGGGGAGTTAGTGTCTAAGGGGCGCACAGTTTCAGTTTTGTAAGATGAAAGGAGTTCTGGAGATGGAAATGGTGGTGGTAGCACGAGGATGTGAGGTTACTTAATTCCACTGAACTATCTCCTTAGAAGATGGTAAGTTTATCACAAAATGTTTCTTCTTCAGATTATATAATTGCAGCTTTCTAAAGATTATAAACATTACCTGCAATTCACAATTCAGTGGAGAAAAAACTACCGCTGTAATTCTGGCTACCACTCTGACTTAACTGGAAATAACTGGCAGATTTACGGTCACTGTTTAGCCTTGGCTCCAATTATCCAGAATAGCTGAGGCTTCCTTGCATATCACATTCTTTCTCTTCCCTGAGACCCTTCTATTGGAAATAGTCCTACACACACAGTGCTTTTTAAAGTGTTACAGCCATGGAAAGTTCTGATACCTGCAGTATCCCCACTGGCCATTTGAGTTTCTGGAGCAATAAAGGCAAGGCGGGCCTAAAAATGGATTATGCAGAAATATTCTCTCAACATGTGTCACATCAATTTCCTGCATAGAAGGAAAGAGAAATACATTTCAGCTGATTACTATCATCTGACTTTTAGAAACCTTTGGTGGGTCAAGATTTCCTTATTTTTTCCTGAGACGTTGATTTGGGATTTCTGGTCAGAGATCATGAGAGTAAGAATAATTGTACAATTTTAGCAATGTTATCCTACCGAGAAGCAGAAACAGTAGCACTGTGAGGCTTTAGGTTATTGGTGTCACAATTGATTTTTAAGTGCACACTTGAGAACTAGTCCTTTATGTATAACACTACTGTACAGTTTTAAAAATAACTGTGCTGGGCACCTTATGATGCATTATTTTGATCCTCACATCAACTTTATTGCCCTATTACTAGAAGAGAAAATTGAGGCTAAGAGACGTTAGGAAGCAGGCCCTCCATACACAGCAAAGGAGTGGCAGACGAGTAGTTAAGCCTGCTTGATTTCACAAACTGTACTTGGATTGTTATTTGTTATGGAGTTCACTGGAATACCATTAGGCCTTCAATGATTTCTTTGTAGTCATATTTCTAAAATCTTGACCACATAGACACCTAGTGTTTTGCTTTGTTCTTTTGTTGTTGTTGTTTTTTTCTTGACTTCAGTCCTTTGCAGTGAAATTGCACATTAACCCTGCCTGATTGCAATGGGTAAAAATCATTAATCTTTCACTTCTTACCCCTAAAACACTAGAACCTGATGCGTTAAAGTAAATTTAAAATTTAAACCGCGATGTTGTATTAAATTCAGTTTTGGCAGTTAGTGGATTTTTTTTTTTTTTTAATCCTACAACAACAGATGTGACTGAAAGAATCGATCTTGTTGACATGGTTATTCTTGTATGGAGAAAAACCAATACTAAAATACTAACAATATCATCTACCATTGCACATTCTGGCAAGGAAGTTTTTACAGAAAGCCAGGTTGAGCTTGTTTTCCATTATAGTGTCACAGCCTGCTGCTGACACAAAACATTTTTATCTGCGATTGGCTAAGTCATTTGTCTTAGTGACACCGAGTTTTATTCACATTATTATAAAAGAAAAACGTTTGTAAACAACACACATTAAAAAGTACATCGAAATTCTATTTAAAACATTTTCTGAGAAAGAAAGAACTATTCCTGAAGACCTAACTTCATATGATGGACCCCAAACAAGTATTGTAACCACAGCAAGTGGAAAATCTGCTGATTTCACAAGGCTGTAAGAGTTCGAAGTGGGCGTTATTCACGGTAGAAACCTTAGGGTCTTTTGCAAAAGCAAGTATGATTTCTCATTTTGTAGTCCATGCCATCTCACTTAATTGATTTTCTGCCCAATTGATTTTCTTGTATTGAAACTCTTCAGATACAAATTTGGCTCTTTTCAGTCCAGTTTTTAGAGAGCAGGGGTTGAAAGAAAGACTTCTGAACCATGTTTGAAGGACAGCAGGGCTGCAGGCTCTCAAGGCAGCGCATTTTCATCCTGAGAGCCAAAAAGCTGTCCAGAAGCTTCTCTTCTTTTTACTATCAGCTTCCTCTTGCCTGTTAATAGCAGGAGGGTGAAAGGGAGAGTACGTCTAGGAAATGCCAACCTAAGTGGAGAAGCCCAAACGGTTTCATTTATACAAACACATCATTTCAGTTGCTTATATTTGAGGTACAAAATTTTATTTTTAAAAGTCCATTAAAATACCATTTTTGCCTTTTAACATTGATCATTCAATCGCTTTGGAATTTAGAGAATTTAAACACTTAGGACAGAGGTACAAGGGATACATTTAGAAAAGCAATCATCCACCCACGCCTCTCTAGCAAAGCCTGGGACTCTTTCTCCATCCAATTTTTCTTTTGGTCTATGTGATCTAATGCGATGTGGCAACTAAGTAGTGGGCCTAGATATGTGTGGATAAGAGACTGAGGTTCATTACTTTGTAGCAGGGCTCTTCTCAATGGGGGCACCTATGTCCTTCCAGGGAGCATTTGGCAATGTCTTGAGACATTTTGGCTTGTCCCAACTGGGAACAGGAGGAGGGGAGAATGGCACTATTCACATCTAGTGGGTAGAGGATACTTTCAGACATCCAGATCCTACAATGCTCGGGACAGCCCCCACAACAAAGAATTATCCAGCCCAAGATGCCAATAGTGAGGAAGTTGAGAAATTCTGTTTTACAGTCCCACTTCAGGTGTTGGGGTGTGTGTGTGTGTGTGTGTGTGTGTGTGTGTGTCAGCTGGGGCTAGCGGGATTTTAGAATCACCAACCACAATACTGTTATCAGCCCACCAGACCCTAGAATCTGTTCTGACATGTAGAATCACCATACTGCATCCTTCTCTCCCTCCTTCCTGGAAGGGCTGAGCACAATGACACACCCTCTCCATTTAGCCACGTGGAGGCAGTGATACTGGATGGGCTGCTTGCCTTCAGTCTTCTAGTCTTCTGGTTCCTTTCACTCATTCCTGAGTTCCGGGTGGGCTTTGAAAGGTCGAGTGTTAGAGGCACAATTATCAGACTTTGAATCATCCTTTTTTTACATCACAGCAGCTCACAGAAGAAAATGAAAATATTTCTACAGTATCCTGGGGTAAGCTGAGGAAGCTGCTCAACAGTGATCAGCCCTGAAGCTCCCGTCACAGCCAGGTGTGAAGAGATCAATATTCCCTGTGTACATGCTCCCTCTGCACGGCACAGAGGTTGGGAAAGTACATAAAGTATCAGAATGCTAGGAAAGAAGTTAAAAACTTCATCAAAAATTGATGTAGTCACCACAATTAGTAGCAATTCCTTGCAACAACCACCTGGATAATTCTGATTATTTTTGTTCTCTATTTTTTTTTTTCTGTTTTAGTAGTCCTTAAAATCCCTTCAGTTAATTTATGGAGTGGAGACTGCATGTAATTCTTGAAGCCTGTGGTGAATGACACAACATTTGATACTGAAGTTAACAGACCTTAGAGTTTTGGAATGAACTGTGGTTAGAATACCAAAAAAAACCCTAGTTGAAGAGAACTCACAATTTCACTGTACTTTGGTGATAACAGGAGTCTATGTGGAGAAGAGAGCATAAAATAAGAAAGTTGACTTTGTTTATGTCCCCTGAATTTTTTTTTTTCTTGCTGAAACAAAACTCCAGGAAATTAAATGAATGTCATTGCGGAAGGTTATGGAATGACCTGAAAGAAAATTATCTTCCTCAAATATCTCTCTCTCCCTTTCAAAACCCAATTAGGCTTCTTTTTGGATTGGGTCTCAGTCATTAATAGGTCTTCCTGGTTAGTAGGTTGTTCGCTGTAGATTTCTTTCCCATTCTCCAGCTATGGAATGTGGGAGACTTTTATGCAGACAGAGAACGTGTATCAGTGAGGAGAGAATTCTGAAGGATCTGAGGCAGCACACTTCCAGTGGGTTACTTACTAGGTGAGGAGATTACCTCATGCTGCCAAAGCCCCTTCTGGAGTTAGCTCTGGTTGATATGTACCAAATAGTTCAGGAGGTCTATTCTTGAACACTGGTAGAGCGCATAGGCCAGCTTTCCCACCGTGGCCCCCTTATTGCCTTCCCTCATCAGCCACGTTTTGAGCATCTGGTAAACCTTTTCTTTTAGTCCATCTCGCTCATAGTCATGGTCAATTTCCTCAATCTGAGGTTCACTGAAGCCCAGCTTACGGGCACAGTTTTTCCATTGCTTTCCCAGATTTTCCCTGACTGGGTCCAGATGTTTATCAGTCAGACTAGTGGTATTTTCTGCCAAACAGAAAAGAAAAGAAGGCATCAGGCTATAACCCATTTGAACATTCTAGTTTCAAAAACCTGTATAAAGATTATCAGGAGACAGTAAAAAAGAAAACTTATTAATTATAGAGTTGTTGACCCGTGAGGTGATACTTTACATGTCTGGAAGCCCATTTGGAATGTTTATGTGAGTACAATAGAGAACCTCTTCCTCCTAGCAGATACCTCTCTGAGCTACAGCTGATGGCATTGGGAATAAAAGCCCTGCTTGGCTACTAGGCTGTTCTATACAACCTTAGCCAGTGGCCCTGTTAATATCAGACCTTCCTGATGTAAAGAGCAAAGAAAACACCATTTTTGTTCCTTTTGGCATTGTCTACTTATATCTGGCCAGAATCAAGGTCATTCAATTCCTGATCCCCTGCACCCTACAGTTCACTTTCCTCTTACTTACGGAAACCAAGACCATCAAGTGCAAACTTGTTCAATTACAATGCCTTCCCTTGTCTTTTAAGGAATGAGGTATCTACTTTTCAAGGTCTGTTTTGGGACTCCTCTCTCCTTTACCCTAAGTGTTACCTTCTCTTCTCCTACAGCCACAGCCTCCCTTTCTACTGATTCCTTCCTCTTAGGCCTTCATAAAAATAACAAAAAGAAACTATAAAGTATAAAATCACCACCACACACATTTTCCTTGATCCTCATCCCACCCCAATAAGCTGAATATAAGGAAAAAGACATCTCATTCCCCATGCCCATTCTTTCCTTAGCACTCCCCTCCCCCCGCAACTCCCATTCTTTCCTTAGCTCCCCACAATGCATCTTCTGTCATCACCACTGGACGTCAGCAGTCCAAAAACGTCCCAAATTTTGTCAATACCTCTCCAGGAGAGGGACCCTGGGTTTCATCAGATTCTCAAAGCTACCTGTGTCACCCCAAGAGTTAGGAACCTCCTCTCTAAGGACTATTCTTCAAATGGATTGGCAAACTATGGCTACTGGGCCAAATCTGGCCTGCTGCCTGTTTTTGTAAATAAAAGTTTTACTGGAACACAGCCACGTACATATGTACATATTGTCTGTGGCTGCTATTGTACTACAATGTCAGATGAGTAGTTGCAACAGAGACCTCAGGGCCAGTGAAACCTAAAATATTTACTATCTGGTCCTTGACAGAAGAAACATTTTGCCAATCCTGGGGTTAATCATAAAGTTGCGTTCTTAAATCCCATTGTTTTGGCCTCATGCCTGTTTCCCAGGTTGTGTTTTGGGATTAATGTCATGAGCCTGCATAGTGGAACCCTGTAAGAGAAAGCTCTCCTGTTTTTATAACAGAGGTGCTGTTGAGGGCAGAATCTTCTATCTTTTCAGAATCCCTTTTGATGAAGACCTGAGGGACCTACCTCTTCTAGGTCTGAGTAGTGATATTGGTCATGATGATGATGATGATGATGTGTTCAACACTTTCATAGATCTTACTATGTGCTAGGCAGTGTTCTAAGCTCTTTATACATATTGACTCATTTAATTTTCATAACAAATCTGTGAATTAGATATTATAATTATCCCCATATTAAACATAAATAAACCACAAAGGAATTATACGGAAATTACAGAGACATTTTACAGAGAAAACATGGGGCAACTTTCAGGGAAAATAATTGGAAAAAT